TAAAAAAAAAAAAAAAAAAAAAAAAAAAAGGACAGAAGTTACCAGACATGAGAAAGGGAGGGGGGAGGGGAGGTTAGTGGGAAATTGGTAAAGGGCCACAAAAAATAATTACATTGTATAATGTTGAATATACTAATTATCATGATATGAGCATCACATATTGCATGCAGGTACTGATATTCTACACAGTATCCCACAGATACATATAATCAAGTATGTTTCAATTTAAAAAATTAATTAATTAAAAAAGAATAGATCATCTTTTAGATCTATTTTCTCAGCTTTGGGTGCATATGTGTGTGCAGACACATATGAATAAGAAGACAGAAAAATATAAATATTGGTTATCTGGGTGATGGTTTTTATTTCTCTTCTTTATGCTTTCTGAATTTCCCACATTATCTGAATAAACCCTGTGCAATTATAACAAAAGTTAATTTGTTTTTCAGACCTCTGAGAAGCCACTAATCCCTCAGACTTCCCCAATTTCAAACAATTCAAAGGAAGCAGGACGACTATACAAAGTGAATTATAGCTAAGTTTACTCACTCAACAAAATGCAACAATGATGAAGCCCAAAAGCAAAGTTTATAGCAGCTTCCTTATCCACGGAGGTACAAATTTTAAACCAAAGCACTGATAGTGCATCATACATTTGAAACCTTGAGTTTTATTTAACACATCCCTCCCCCACCTTCCCAATAATTTTTTTAAAGGATTTTATGGCTTGTTTCAATAGTAAGCTACCTCTAGAACTTTACTGGGGGGAAGAGAGAGAGCTTATGAAATAATTTCCATATTAAAAATTTTATAAGTAAAAGATCAACCTTACTACTTATAAAACAGTCTTTTCAGTCAGAGAAAGAGAAACATAAGGGGAAAATGTTTGTTTTTTCTAACAAGAATCATCCTATTTGGTAAGATGAACACTACCAAAAGATAATGGCAGTAATTATTTCTTGAAACTATAACACAGCATCCTAAGACATATCAGTGGTCACCAATATGAAGAATTACAGCATAAATACTGGAATTACGCCAAATAACATTTCTAATAAAACTTTTTTTTTTAAAAAAAGGTTAACGGAGGCAACACGGAAACTCTTAGTTTCATGAGGAATAACAGATAATAGTATTGAGACTAAGGTAACAAGTATGGGTTCACTAGAATACCTTTTTCATTTTTAAAAAATTCTTTTTATAGCCTTAGTTATATAGATATCAATGAACCATCTAATCTTTATGTGCTTAAACTCAGAAAATGAAATAACATCTTAGCTCACCCAAAAAAGCCTTTGTTCCCAGAGATTAGTAAATAGAAATTAGCAGTAAACTATTATATATTCATCACAAGTAGATTACAAGTTATAGTCTCTGAGCACTATAATTTTCACTGCTCAGTAAAAATATTACCTTTATGTTCCACATAAGGCTCCATGTCCAAAATTTCTGAGAAGCCAATGTAGGTATTCAGCTTTTTCTTATGTCCAGTTTGCCTAACCAAGAGGAAAGCTGATTATATTTATATTTAAAACCATCATAAAACAATATATAAGCTCTATCATCTTTTTTAATAAGCTCAACAGTAGCTAGATTTCATTTAGCAATCTTGCTCAAAAACCTGTACAGTTAGAAGTAAACATAATATTGCTTTATAATTGAGCAAATAATAATCAATAGGTTAAAAGGTATGAATTCAAAGTGCTGATTCCAAATACAACTTATTTCCAGAAGTTTTAATTTAATCACAAAAGGAAAACACAGGCACTCCTGCTTTATAAAAGACCCGCATATGTGCAAACATTGCCTAGACTTTAATTATAAAATGAAAGATACACTCCCATGGGGAGAGGGGAAGGATAATAGTAATGACTAAGAAATTTACTCTAAAATATACAGTAATACAGAATGTCAAGGTAATTCACTCCTTGATGTTTTTAGTAATTCCTTAGAATAAAAAGGTAAGAACTCCCTACTTTTCTAGTTCTCAATTACATTTGACTGGCTTCTTTAAGAATTTTATGATAAAATCATGAAATACTGACATTTCAAAATGAAAGCTTCCACCTACAATTTTCATCCCCAAATCTAGAGTTTCAAATTATAATCATTCTATTATTTTATTTGTCTATGGTAAAATCTGTACACATTATTAGTCCAGTGAACAATGAATACTACTACTTGCACATATTTACCTGTCAAAGACAAAACGCATTAGCTGCAAGTTCAGAGTGCAAGGAAGGCTGAGAAGTCGAATCTTCCTTGTTGCATTCTGTTTGCTTTGACAGTTTTCACAAAAGTATCGATTGTCTCCTTCTAATTTTTCTTCCTGATCAAGAATAAGACATGTTTAAAAAAAAAAAAAAAAAAAAAAAGATGATAATGGAAGGACTTAAAACAACTGATAAAACCTCTGATGTAAAGCATAATTTCAGTTTAGTTAATAGCTGCCATTCAAGTTGTTTAAAATTAAGCTACCATAAACAATGGACACATAAGATTAAAAGGCACTGCTTAGCAGTGACATTATCAATTTGTATACAATGACATTTAAAATTGATGTGACTATTTCCAGAATGTATGATTTTAAAAATACAAGAATGCTTCAAAAAGCTTGTGGAAAAATAGAATGAAAAGATAATACAAATCTTTCCATGAATTTTTTCAAGTACCCTGGTACTTGTGTCAGGTCCTTTGTCCTGGTAATCCCACTTCCAGGAATTCTAAGGATGTATGTTTTAAAAGAAATGTCGTATGTACTTTGATGCAAAATTAATTTTAAAACATGAAAACATAGGGGCTGGCCCGTGGCTCACTTGGGAGAGTGTGGTGCTGATAACACCAAGTCCACGGGTTCGGATCCCTATATAGGGATGGCCGGTTAGCTCACTTGGAAGAGCGTGGTGCTGACAACACCAAGTCAAAGTTAAGATCCCCTTGCTGGTCATCTTTAAAAAAAAACAAACAAAAAAAACATGAAAACATGAATAGGTGAAAAAATAGGTAGAAAGTACCTATGGGCACCAGAATAGAAAATTTTATATATATATATATATATATTTTATATATATATATATATATAATAGATATTATATATATATTAAATATGTTGTTAAAATTACTAAACTACATTTATGAGATGAAGCTAAAAGAAAAATGCAGAAAAATCAAATGTTTTGGCTAATAGTGGTTTCTTTTTTAAATTTTCTTTTCCAATAGGTTTTTTGACACAGATTATTGTAACTAATACTAAACTGGTACTAGCCCTTTCTTCATGTGGCTTCCAGGATACCACACCCACCTATTTTCCTCCTAATTCAATGGCCATTCCTCCACAGCATCCTTCGCCAGCTGCTCCTATCTCCCTGATCCCTTAATGTTTGAATGTTCCAGCATTCAGTCCTTGGTCCGGGTCTCTCTCTCACTCCCTTGGTGATTTTATCTGACCCCGACATCTCCACTTGAACTACACCTCTCAAATGTAATATGCTCAAAACCAAACCCCTAATTCTCCTTTCAACCCTGCTCCTCCCACAGCCCCAATTCCCTCTCCTCCCCACCAATCTCAGTTACAGCCACTCCATTCTTTCACTTGATCAGGCCAAAAACCTTCATAATCCTTGACATCTCTCTCTCTCTCAATATCCAGTCCACAGATTCTATCAGTTCCCCTTCAACAACATACCTAAAAGCTAAACACTACTTTTATCACCTCTTCCGCTAACCATTTGGTCCAAGCCACCCTGCCTGACTGTTTGCCCCACCTCCAGCCTATCCTCAAGACACCACCACAGTTACCACATTAAAACTGATTTTTATCACTCCTATGCTTACAACCCCCAGTGTCATCTCAGCCTCACTCAGAGTAAAAGTCAGACTCCTGATGAGGTCTGGCAGGCCCTATCTGATGTGGCCCTTAGCTCCTCCACAGCCCCCACCTTCCAGCATCCACCCTTCACTCTTCACTTCAGCCGCACTGACCTCTCCTGCTGTTCCTCAGGCCACCAGGCTCTGCACTTGCCATTTCATCTGCCCAGAACATTCTTCTCTCTGAATCGTGCATGGCCCACTTCTTCACTTTCAATAGTTTTATTTCACATTGCAACCAACCTCACCTTCACCCCTACCAAATTCCCTGGTCCCCTTCCCTGCTTTATTTTTCTCCATAGCACTTATTACAGTTGACACACTATATATTTTACTTATATTTATTTTACTCTCCCTTCCTGGTACCCATACCACTACACTATAAGCTCCATAAAGCTTAATTTTGTCTGTTTCGTTCATTATCGTTATCCCCAACAGCTGAAAAAGTGCCTGACACACAGTAGCACTCAATAAATATTTGGCTGAATGAATTTAACAAACGACTACTTCCAGCAGGCTAACAGATGTGCTAGAGGAGTAGGAAAAGCACAATATTTTAAGACAGGAAGCTGTATAATAAGCTTATCTATTATGCTATGTATCTGCTCATGCTTAGTAACAAAAGTTTCTCCTGAGCAGTTTTCCACTAAGAACAAAAGGGAGCCACTCCCATATTGCCACATAAATCTAAATATACAGAAAGTAGAAATACGGAGTGGAGGGATTGAAGAATGACCATATTGTTGTAAAAACACATTTGCATTAAGCACATTCTAGTCCTCGTTACATGAAAAGGTAAATTAGCTTTATGGTAACAGAGCTTAGACATTCTTAAATGCCCCATTACCCCCCATCAACGCAATAATATAAATTTTCACACATATATGACTTCACAAATAAAGTAACTTGAAATAGCCAAAAATTAAGATGCAGCCTGCTTTAGTATTTTATAATTTATAAAGTTTCTTCTAGATCATTACATAAACACAGACATTTCTTAGGTAGAAAAAGGTGGAATAATGGATCTATCCATTAAGTAAAAATACCATTCAGAATAGCATTTAACTGTTAGTAAGCAGAAACAATATATACACCAAAATTTGAATACCTTCAAAAACTCCGAGATACAATCTGTTAACTGTTTGTGGCCTTGGATATTTAACTCCAGTTCATAAAACTTTGATAAAAGCTTTGACTCTCTGCCACACTGATTGCAACTATAATAAGATAGAGTGACAAAATTAAGATCAGAGTGGGAAAAGCAATAAAATTCTACTGTATTACATCCTAGGAAGATGGAAAGAAATTTTTATAACCTTAATTAGTTCTCTTTCACAGAAATTATTTATACTATGTATATTAAAAATTAAATAAAAACAAGTGATTGGTGAGGCCATGTATTTTATGACTGGAAAATTAAGAGATATTTTACATTTACTTTTAGTATTCTAGCCAGCTCCAATCTTATTCTTTCAGCTCACAACACACAGCCATAAAGCAAATGACAAGAGCTCAACTGGACAGTTTCTAATACCTGGTTGGGTTCAACTGCAATTATCAAGTCAGTTGTTTACATGTTCCCATGGAACAGTATTACTATAAACATTTCAGATCCCATGATAACCCACTAATGCTATAACTTGGAACTGAACTGAAAACTAGATAACACATGAACAACTGTCTTAGAATAAAATGTACCATGGAAAAGTTGAAATAGACTTACACAGTTACATAAGCATATTCCCCACAGAACTGCTGTTGGACAATGTTCCGCACATCTGGATTCTTTTGTTTAGACAAAGTATCTTCCAGCAGAGACATAAAGAGCTTTGAAAATTCTTGGGCATCCTACAAGTTTGGATTAATAAAAAGAAAAATTGTACCTTGCTTTTCAACTTCTAATACAAACAGTAGTAAATTAAATATTCCAGAAACTAAATGTACTTTCAACTTAGCCCTTTTGAACAAGGACTACAGCTATGTTGAACCAGTATGTGGCCACATATGAATTTTCACAAATGGAATCAAGTACAATGTATAATATACCGAACAGTAAACAAAAGCTCAAATTCAAAATAGGAAAACTTTAATTTTTAAAAGGCATTCTACTTCATCTCTCTCTATAAACATTCACACTTGGGTACCTTTGAATATTAAAAAAAAAAAAAAAAAAGTTCCTACCTGCTGTTGCCCTGTGTCTAAGCCCAAGGCTTTAACAAATCCCGATGGATCAATGTATCGCCTATTACTGTTTTGCAACAAGGCAAACAAGTACTGAAGATGCTCACAAATTGTTTGAGGCTCATAATCTATTAAAATAAAAATATAAGTTTGTTTTTTATAAGTTGCCATTTTTCTTTTTAAAAAACGCTACTTCTTCACATGAGGACATAATTAAACACCCTTATATCCAAACTATACTAATGTTTTACCATCATTTTAAAACTTCGAAAGAAACAAAATTAGCAACCATAGCTTTTGCAAGGAAAGAGGCAGCCAGGGCTGTCTATATACACTCTGTAAAGGCAAGAGGCTGTACAGGCATTACATCAACAATAGCAATTATGACTGGTTTCCAGAGTGTCAAATAACACTGACACATCCATTCCAGTAATAAAAACTATACACGATATTTACCATTAGCATAAGATGGCCACATACTTTCAAATAATCCCATTAATGTGGACATGCCACAAATAGAGCAAGTGATGGGAATCTAAAGCATAGCAATTCACACTTGCACGAAGAATACAAAATCCTAGAATTTTAGAGCTGCGAGTTTTAATGAGTTGGGGGAGGGCATGAAAACAGAAAGCATGGACTTCAAGAGCCCTAAAAGACCTGACTCTTATCTTCTACATCAGTTATTAATTTATTGCTTCTCTACTCTAAGTCCACCCCTCTTTGCCTGCTCAATTATAAAAGAGATGAGTTTCTCCTTCACCAGCTATGGAATGGTTAAGTTGGAGGACACTGGAGGATTAATTTGGGCTTCCTGCTAGGCAGTTTTTTCCAGGGCTCCAGGTTCCTGCAGCTAAGAGTAGCCAGCAGCTTTCCTGAGCACCTCTTCTCATAGCTTTGCAGTATAGTGCCTCCAGTGAGACATTTCCTCTTGAATGACTACTCTGTGAATGACCTCCTGGACACCTTTCTCAGGTGACTTTGTAGGGAGTTCTAGGGCCCAGCACTTCCTTGTGGACAGTTTCCAGCAGGAATCCCCAGCGAAGCATCATTTCAACAGCTCTTCAGCCATTCAGTGAGTCTCAGCAGTGCTCTGTCCAAAAAGGTTTGGATCTCAGGCTTGCACTGGAGGGGTGATAGACTCTTCCCTGGGTGCTCTCTTCCAGCCATATGGGTAGTCTGCTCCCTGTTCTGCTATTCCCTGTATCCTTTAAAATCTTCTTTCACTCTTACTAACCAATTCCCCATTACTATAATTGCCTGTTAATAATTCTCTATATGAAACTTTCCCTGTTGAAATTATTGTGTAGCTTGTTTCCTAATTGAACTTTGAATGTTTATCTCCTTACTATCAATTGTGACTTCCAGCAAGTCAATATATCATTTGTAAAATAAAAATAAAATCTTTATTGGAGTTTTGCAGGCTGTTAAAAGCCATTTAAGTCTGTATTTACTCCAACTCTCTCACTTTACAGTTTGGAATACTCTATAGCAAAATTTTAAATAACTCAAACCCTGATGGTTTCCTTATCTGTAAATAAGGGAGTGGTTGAGCAAGAAATAAAATTCAGACCCCATAATTTCTAACACAAACTCCACTCCACTGTATTGTGCCTATCTATCAAGATTAGCATAGGAAGTGTGAACTCATGCTAGAGAATATGGTACAAGACTTTGGTAAAATGCTGTGGATTGAATGTCCCCCCAAAATTCATTGAAGCTTGACCCCCCCCGCCCCCGTAACAGTGTTAAGAGGGTGGGAAATCCAATTATGGTATTTGAAAGGTGGGGCCTTTAAGAGGTGATTGGATCTTGAGGACTGTGCCCTCGTGAGTGGATTAATCCATTCATAGAGTAATGGATTATCAGGGAGAGGTTCTGATGGCTTTATAAGAAAGCAAGTGAGAATGTTAACTCCTTTGCTCATGCCATTCTTGCCATGTGATACGCTGGTTGCCACAGGGCTCTGCAGAAGAAGAAGGCCCTCACCAGAGGTGTCCCCTAGAACATGGACTTCCCAGTTTCTTTATAAATTATCCAGTTTCTGGGCCGGCCCGGTGGCGCACTCGGTAGAGTGCGGCGCTTGGGAGTGCGGCGGCACTCCCGCCGAGGGTTCGGATCCCATATAGAGACCAGTCCGCTCACTGGTTGAGCACGGTGCGGGCGCGACACCGAGGGTTGCGATCCCGTTGCCGGTCACGAAAAAAGACAAAAAGGAAAAATAAATAAATAAATTATCCAGTTTCAGGGGCCGCCCTGTGGCTCACTTGGGAGAGCGTGGTGCTGATAACACCAGGGCCACGGATTTGGATCCCTATATAGGGATGGCTGGTTAGCTCACTTGGGAGAGCATGGTGCTGACAACACCAAGACAAGGGTTAAGATCCCCTTACCAGTCATTTTTTTTTTTAAAAAAGAAATTTAGTTTTCACTTGTTATTTTTTCCTCTCATTCATAAATTCATGTCAGTAAAATAATGCTAAAAATTAAAAATGACCTTACTTATCTTTTATATACACTACTACTTCAATGACTTAATATATTATTAATCTAGGGGGCCAGCCTGTGGCTCACTCGGTAGAGTGCGGTGCTGATAGCACCAGGGCCACGGGTTCGGATCCCATATAGGGATGGCCAGTTCGCTCACTGGGTGAGCGTGGTGCTGACAACACCAAGTCAAGGGTTAAGATCCCCTTACCGGTCATCTTTAAAAAAAAATAAAATAAATAAATAAAGCAAACATTACTATTAACAGATCAAGACTCTAAAGTATTGCCACTAGAGGGCTACAGATGTGGAGCTTCAGAATTCTGTCTTCTCTCTCTTGGAGCTAAATGCATGGGCCATGTGCCCAGATAAGATCATATAAAAAAGACAGAGCTGGCTGGTTAGCTCAGCTGATTAGTGTGGTCTGATAACACTAAGATCCAGGGTTCAACCCTTGTACCAGCCAGCTGCCAAAAAAAAAAAAAAAAAGACAGCATAGGATTTACAGATGAGAGCAAGAGTCAAAAGTTCCCAAGGGGTAGCTCCCAGACCTATATTATCTTAGACACCCATTCTCCTCATGCCCTAGCTTTGAAGAGAAAAATCTGATGTATTCCATGAAAGCTCCATCACAAAAAGGAAATCTCTAAATATAAAATATCATTTAGCAATAACAATCCACATTTTATGCATAAAACAAAATATGTAATTCCAGTAGAAACAGTTTGAAACTGGTTCTGTCTGAATTCACAATGAAGGCAGTAGTATATTAGTGACAGATTCTGCCGTGGTTAATGAATTTAAACTTAATTTTGGAGAATATCATTTAAGTCACTGTATTTGGGAATCAGGCCAAAAGACTGTGGTTACCTTGAAACATTTATTAAGCTTCTCAAACTAGGTAAAAGAGTAACCTTTTCTGCCTTATTGACTGATTTTTATCAATTACCAGAAATTAACGACTACAGTCACAGAGTATTACATAGAGAAATTGTAGCTGCAAGCTATATAAATATAATCACATGCATTTCCTTCATTTGAATATTAGCCATTTTGGTACATAAATGATAAATACACAGGAAAAAAAGAACTATTTTGAATCCTGACTATGTTTATAAAAGACCTAGCACCATGCCTGTATGTATTGAACATCCATGTTTCTTCCTTTTTGGTTGGTTCAGAACTGATCCAGCCAGCAATATACTCAGAAGTGAGCTCTTCCCCCCTCCGATACCTCCCCCATCCCCACTAACCTTTCTCTTCTTGAATACCATCACCCATCATGTAGTCACTACAGGTGCTTGAACATAAGTACAGTGCCTGCCGGAGCTCCAAGTTGAGAAACCACACTTGAAGAAATGTGTTGACATAACAAGTGGCTCCAAGGTTAGTCAGGCCCACAAATGAGTTCTACAAAAATACAAAATTTACAATTACAAAATCAATTTCCCTTTAAACAAAATTCTTCTAAGAACCATTATTTTTAAATTTTCCGATTAAAAATTTGTAAGTCTGTCCCAACCAACATGGTATAACCACCTTAAGTCTCTCTTGGCTGGAGGTGGGGCATAATTTTCATGAAAACCCCATTTTGGGTTGACCACAGGAATGGAAAAGACTTCGGACAGCATCACTGCTCATCGCTAGCATATCGTCTTCTCCAGCCACTTAAATCTAAAATTAGAACAGTAGATTCTAGAAAAGATCAGTTTTGAACATGTGTATATAGGTTTTTCATTTGCTTTATTCCTAAACCGCCAGAATTCAGTAGAATGACAAAGTAAAACTTCTAAAAAGGTTCCTTTACATTCTAGAAATTTGGGAGATTGTGGGTAAGAACTGCTTGTGACTTTTGCCAAAGATAAGGTTGAGAATTCCAGAACTTACAAAGAATCATTTTTTTAAATAACAAAATATACATAGCTAACTATTTTGTGAATGCCAGGTTTTATGGTTAGAAAATATTAATGTTTTTTTTTAAAGTGATCTGTAATATATATTTTATACATACATACATACATATATACATACATACACACACACACACACACACACACACACACACACACACACACACAAAACAAGCTAGAAAACAGTTATCTCATTATGGAAGCTTGTTCCCTTGAATGACTTCCTCCTACTTTAAAGAGACTTTTTAAAAAGAGTTCAAAATAAAGCATACAATGTTAAAGCAAACACAGAGTCAGCATTCAAACTAAAACTATTATTTAAAGGTATACTGGATTATATAGCTACCTGTTTTAAATCATGCCATTTAAGAAGTGATCCAATTCAAGTGGCTTAGAGTCTTAAGTCCCACTACTTATTTTAAAGCTGCATAGGTTACCTGAAATCAGTAGTGGTTTCTGATCACAGGCACAAAGCAAAAGCAAAAATAAACACCAGGAATACAATACAGCAATCACTTAGAAAATGATTGGTTTACCTTTTTTCTCCTTTCACAGTTGGGATCATCGATGTTATGAAAACTATTTTCATCTATTTCTCCTAACCAAATATGCTCACCAATCCCAACCAAGCAATTCGGATTTCCTTTGCAGTTCCGTCTATGAAAAAATAATTATTATTTAATTTTAAAATACCATAGTTTCATAAGAGACATGCAAATTAAAGTTACAGTGAGATACCATTTCTCATCTGCTTCTCATCTATAAGATGAGCAAAAGCATGAAAATACAACAAGACACAGTTTGTGAGGCTGTGGGGAAACAGGTATGCATATACTGCTGATGGGAATGCACATCGATAGGACTTTTATGGAGGAGGATTTTGCAATCTCTAACAAAACTACATATATGGCTACCTTTTTTTTTTTTTTTTTTGTCTTTTTCCGTGTCCGGCAACGGATCGCAACCCTCAGTGTACGCCGCCGCGCTTCCCAAGCGGCGCACTATCGCAGTGCGCCACCGGGCCGTCCCTATATGGCTATCTTTTGACCTAGTAATCTCTTTTCTAAGAATTCACCCTGAAGATACACCTCCAACAATACAAAAGCACATGTGTTAGGATAATTCATTATAGCACTGTTTGTAATTGCAAAATACTGGAAACAACCTCAATGCCCAGAGAGGATACGGTACATTCACATAATGGAGCACTAGGTAACTGTAAAACAAAAAACATATGAAGAAGATATCTCTATGAACTGATGTAGAGTAATTTCCAGGATACATTATTAAGTAAAAAAAGCAAAGTGCAAAAAAGTACCTATAGCATTTTTGTGTAAGAAAGATGGGGACAAAAAATATACATGTATCTGCTCATTTAAGCAAAAAGAAACACAAAAAGGATAAACCAGAGACTAATGAAATTGGTTTTCTACAGAGCATAAGTGGGAATATGGTAAAAAAGGAAGGACGTGTGAAACTTTTCTGAATATACCTTTTCATATGTTGCTGAATTTGGGGACACGTTAATGCTTCTCACGAAACACACACGAGAATAAATCAACTAGGATGGGAGGAACCCTAAATTCAACAAACAGAAACAAAACATTTCAATTGAATAAAATATCTATGTGGGGAGGGGGCAGGGGAGACACTAACCCAAATAATTTTAAAAATCTATTAATTAGCAAACTCATTTAGTAATTTCCTCAGTTTAAAGACAAAATAATACCAATAATTAGTAGGCTTCCTTTTCATAGCGACATGGGTTAACAATTCTAAAACACAGATCTTGATTTTCTAAATATTCTCTTCTAAAACAACCCAGGGCACCTTAGAGAAATGGCTGATTCCAAGGCCAGGTCAGGGATATTACAAGATAAACCCAGAACATCTTACTGTGTCCCAAAAGTAGAAACATACTCAAATAATGACGGGGACATGTTAAAAAGACAGTCAGTGCCAGCTGGCAAAATCTGCCAACAAAATTTGAGTAACAAAACAAATAGCGAAGGGCCAGCTCATGGCTCACTTGGGCAAGTATGGTGCTGATAACACCAAGGCCACGGATTTGGATCCCTATATAGGGATAGCCTGTTAGCTCACTTGGGTGAACGTGGTGCTGACAACATCAAGTCAAGGGTTAAGATCCCCTTACTGGTCATCTTTTTCTTTTTTTTTTTAAATAGATGACCTGGGCCGGCCTGTGGCTCACTCGGGAGAGTGCGGGGCTGATAACACCAAGGCCCCGGGTTCGGATCCCATATAGGGATGGCCGGTTTGCTCACTGGCTGAGCGTGGTGCTGACAACACCAAGTCAAGGGTTAAGATCCCCTTACTGGTCATCTTTTTCTTTTTTTTTTTAAATAGATGACCTGGGCCGGCCTGTGGCTCACTCGGGAGAGTGCGGGGCTGATAACACCAAGGCCCCGGGTTCGGATCCCATATAGGGATGGCCGGTTTGCTCACTGGCTGAGCGTGGTGCTGACAACACCAAGTCAAGGGTTAAGATCCCCTTACCGGTCATCTTTAAAAAAAAAAAAAAAAGTAAGACACAAAATAGTGCACACAGTGTTACCATTTTTTGCTTACAAGCGGGGGTAATACATCTGTTTGTTCAGATAGAACGATACACTGGAAACTGGAAACAACCACCCCTAAGGTTACCTATGTACTTGCCAGCTGCAGGACAGGAGTGAAAGACTTTCTGTGCTCCCCACCCCCATCACTTTTTAAACCTTGCAAATTTTGAACAATGGAATGTGCTACATATTCAAAAAACAATAACTGTTTTAATGATCTGTTTAAATGTGTCAGCTTCCTGGCTTTTAAAAAATAAAAACAGGTTTGGCCAATTTAAGAGCAGTTTTGTCAGCTTTATGTCAAAGCCAGTTGGAAGATAACTTACCAAAAAAATAAAAGTAGGGATGAGGGGTGGGGGAATCTAAATGGAGGTTTATTTTGTTTGTGTGCCTATAACTTTAATGGGAAAGGACTACTACAAGGGAGTTACAATACTAAGAGTAAAAAAAATACTTTCTGTGTAAAAGAGAGTTAAGTTTTTTCTTCTATCAAGAGAAATAAAGAAATAATAGAACTAATTTAGAGACTGAGGAAAGTAACTTAAAATCCTTTCTTTGGGGCCAGCCCCGTGGCGCACTCGGTAGAGTGCGGCGCTTGGGAGTGTGGCAGCGCTCCCGCTGAGGGTTCGGATCCCATATAGAGACAGGTCTGCTCACTGGTTGAGCGCGGTGCGGGCGCGACACCGAGGGTTGCGATCCCGTTGCCGGTCGCGGTACGGGCGCGACACTGAAGGTCGCGATACTGAGGGTCGCGATCCCGTTACCAGTCACGAAAAAAGACAAAAAGGAAAAAAAAATCCTTTCTTTGAATAGTGGCAAGGCTATACTATAATATGAAGATTCTTCTTTGTTTGTTTATCAGGACATAGTTGATTGTATATATCTGTGGGGTACAGCATTGAGTATCAATACCAGTGAGCAATATGTGATGTTCAAATCAGAATAATTAGTATATTCATCAGTATACAACATAATAGATTTTCATGGCCCTTTACCAATTCCTCCCTGTCCTCCTTTCCCACCCCTGGCAACCTCAGTTCTGTTCTCTTCTCTTAAAAAGTTCAATGTATTATTGTGATTGTTCTAACTTTTCCCCCCTTTTATTTATTTATTTATTTATTTAGCTTTATTAGCTCCCAGATATAAGTGAGGGCACGCAGTACTGGAAGATTCTTTTAAAAGAAAATTACAGCTAGCAGCACTGGGCAACAGTCTTTGGGAGCTAGGAAGAGACAGTAGCTAGAGTGAAAATATACCTCTAAGACAAAACAAGTAGGTACTTATTTTGTTAACTCTTTCCAATCTGCTTTTCAGAGGTATAATATCTAGTCTCGTTTATTTACTTTCTCTTCTTGAACAGGAAGCTGGTAAGACATTTTCACAAGATTTGGTTGGGAAGATAGACATTCCCATGGGTCAAACACACACATCATTCTTAGAAAACAGTTCCAGTGGAACCACTCGGATTTTAATCTCCCGTTCCTGACAGCAAAATATATAAATATATGTATATATAAAATGAACAAAAGGCAAGCTCTCCCTGTCCTCACCCCTTTCATACACACATGCACACAAAATCATGCATATTCACAACTGGTTCTAAAACTGGCTTCAAAAAGCAAACACAATGGGCCACAATAATCAACCTCATTGTATATCAACAAAATAAAATTAAGAAAAAATAAATTAAAAAAAAAAAAAGCAAACACAAATAAATATACAGTCCATGGCCTAAAAATTACAATAGGACATTCAAAAGCTAACATCAGAAGTTGGGAGCAATTTGTATTATTCAGCTCTAGAATATTGGCTTTGCTCTTTTAAAAATAATTTCTTAAATTAATTGCTAGCTGGGGATTACAGACTAAGTCTTCAATCAGCTAGACCACCATCATGGTAAGGTGAGATGAAGCTGTGATAAAGCACCAGTCTCACATACAACTAGCTTCTGGGTTCCTATAGCCACACTTCAGGTGGAAACCAAAGAACCAACGGTGGTAGGACCAGGTAGATAATATAAATGAGTCACACTGGCTAGGGTATTTACACATTAAACAGATGTGTCCTTGCATGTTAAATATGTGTTCCTGTCTCATATTTCTTGAATCAGCCTCCTTGATCTGTTTTTACAGTCTGATAGAAACAAGTACACAGAAATATTTTTCTGCTATAAAAAAATTGGTACAAACCACAAGGTTTGATATGACATGCTAAGCAGACACCTACTGAGATTTTAGGCCAGAGAGATACCTTGGCAGCAGTATAAAAGAAAGACCAAAGCAAAAGGCCTAAAACAAAACTAACAACTTTTATAGTGGAAATGAGGTCTTAAAAAACAATTAAGGGGCCGGCCCGTGGCTCACTCGGGAGAGTGCGGTGCTGATAACACCAAGGCCCCAGGTTCGGATCCCATATAGGGATGGCCGGTTCACTTACTGGCTGAGCGTGGTGCTGACAACACCAAGTCAAGGGTTAAGATCCCCTTACCAGTCATCTTTTAAAAAAAAAAAAAAAAAAAATTAAGGCTGGCTGGTTGGCCCAGTTGGTTAGAGCGCAGCCTGATAACACCGAGATCATGGGTTCAGATCCCCACACTGGCCAACTGCCAAAACAACAACAATTAAGTGGCAATGGGACTGGAGGAAAGCTGAATTTGAGCATATCAATGAGATGAAATCAATAGAACTTGGGGACCAATTAGATGGGGTAGACATGAAGGGAAAGAAGTCTGAAGTAATGTCTAAATTGTAAGGAAAGAATTTTCGACAAATCAAAAATTATCTGTCTGCAGAATGGAAAAGCAAGAGGCTAGGTATCTTAGGGGTGTGAACAGATCCCCAAGGACCCATCATTTAAGGATATGCCTTCCAGCACAACGAACAGAAAATGTGTAATCAATGCCACTTCATAGTTGCTGTGCAGTTCAAAGAAGATTCATTCTTCGAATGGGAAAGGGGTAGGAATCTCACTCTCTGAGTGGTCATTAAAGAGTTACTGCTTTGTTTTTCTTCCTCATCACCTCTTAGTTTCTTAGCTCTTAGGACATCATTCCACACAGAGAGTCCAGGGAGAAATCAA